TCTGCTTCAGCAACGATCCTGCTTCATACGACCGCTCTAAGCTTCACTTATCACCTCTGACATCAGTGTATTATAAAAATGCTTGCACTCCTGCTTTCTCAGTTTGCTATCTCACACATTGGACTGGTTTCCTGGAGTAGTCATAATGTGATGCTGAAATCATTCATTAGACACTGACTGCCGTTTTTTTGATGTGTGATGGCAGGTAGTTTTATGTTGTGTAGTGTAATTGACACACTGAATGGCGAGGCTGCTCAGTACATCAGTGCCTGAATTGGACCAAAGAAGGTTCTGGTACCCCATTCACCTCAACCCTAACCTTAAACACAGCATAACCCTAACCCTAAATCTTTTGGCTTCTTTTTATTCATTTTAACACATTCAGTGCATTGCTGTACAGAGTGTTTTAAAAAATACTGAGAATACTCAAAAAACTGAATTTGCTAGTTATTTTCATGCAATTATTTTATGACTTTTATTTAAAACCCCTCGGAAAAAGTGCTGAGGTCTGAACCTTGTGACCTCAGTGGTGGGTACGGCCGTGCTTGCCAGAGGTGGCAGCACTCAATAGGAAGTAAGGGTACTCATGTGGACATAAATTATGAGTACTGTCCCATTTCAGGCACCGTGGTGCATTTATACTTCATTTGCCAATACTCTGCACTGTAGTGTCTTGTTACTTAATGTCTCACAATACCAAGAGGTATGTGAAAAGCTAAAATTGGCCCATCCTTTGTACTCCTTTGACACTCTACTCTCAAATGACTGACTAACTATACCACATTAACATAATATTTGAATATTAAAGTCAATATAAAGTCCTGTTACTGACAGTAATACTCAAATCTTCAGATTAGATTTGTAGACCTCAGAGGACAGTTTCATATTTTTGTCCTCGTTTCTAAATCCTCTAACCTGCCATAAACATTCAGTCACAATCCACGCTTACCTCGGCTCTCGCTCCTCCGTCTGCCTGCCCATCATGCCATCCATCTCTCCCTCTGTTTTGCTTCCTTTGCCTCCTGTCTTCCTGTCTCTCCACCTCCCACCCTTTCCTACGTCTTCGTCTGTCCCCCAGCTGCTACAGTCCCAGAGCAGAAGACGGTCACTCTGGATGTGGACGTTAACAACCGCAGTGACCGAACTGAATGGTGCAGCTGTTATTATCACGGGAACTTCTCCCTCAACTCCGCCTTTGAGATCAAGCTGCACTGGATGGCCGTCACCGCTGCCGTGCTCTTTGAGATGGTAACTAGATGACATTTTGCCATTTTTAGGATTTCACATACGCTGTGTGGCTGCTGTCACCATGTTAACTGATGTACGGAGAGGTCCGATAAACTCCACTGCCATTTCATTAAGCAGTTATTACCCGTCAGGTTCAAGGGTGGCACAGGAAAGCAGCCTCCTGCGGCTTCCTGCTGGTCCCGGTGCTGGAGGTTCCTTTCGCACTGACATCTTACCTGTACGGAGATCCACTGAGAGCCCAGCTCTTTATCCCTCTCAACATCCACTGTCTGCTCAAGAACGGCAGCGACAACCTGTTTGAAGGTATTGAAGCCTTCTGACCGAATACTGTGTTCATGTGTGTGATGTGTACAGGAGCTCAGTCACATCGTCTGTCTGTGTGCGTTCATCACACAGGTTTTGAACCAGAGACGTACTGGGACAGGATGCAGCTCTTTCAGGAGGCCATACTGTACAGGTTGCGGTTTTGTGGTTTTCCTAACTTACAGTCATCTATAGAGTCATATGCAGGGCAGTATATGAGCACAGGAAAAGATTTTTTGCAAGCACATGAATAATATTTTGTGGAGAAACCATCATCACTTAACAGTCCTTCCAGAAAAATGCGTTTTTTTGTGATTTTTGCAGGCAAAAATCCTTGATTATGCGGCACATTTTCTTAAAAAATGCGATGGAATATGCGGGATATTTATGCAATTTTATGCGATGAAATTGCGGGAACTTGCAAAAACTGCGGTTTGATGAAAAAGAGAAATAAAAGTGATTCCCCCAACACCCTGTTCTCACTAGGCTACTACCTTAATGTAAAGAATCATTTCTTATTACTTCCTATGATAAGCAAGCATACTACATCACAGAAAGTGCTGGGAATATTTAAGTTCTCATCTTGTTTTATTTCAGACCTTAATAAACACATGGCTCAAACTTACAAAACATTGATGGGTCAAACAAGTTCTGTAGCTTTACAAAAGGCATGTGCTACAACTTCTGTAAAAAATAATAAATTAAATATGAGACTGATTTGCGGGCTTCATCGCAGGGTTTGCAGCTTTTCGATGACGTTCACGTCGTGTAATTACGTCACTTCTTAACGTTCCCATGGCAACAGGGGGAAATGGCTGCTCTTGTTTGAAGTAAACGCAACATTTTTCAAATACGCCGCACTGATTATGCATTGAATTATGCGATCGCATAATCACATTGTTGTGGAGGGACTGACTTAAGGAATTATTGAATTTGAACAGTGCTGTGAGCCACAGTTACAGCCAATCAGAAAACAGCAGAAGGTCATTTCTGATTGGATGTTTTGATTGCTAGTAGTATTATTTGTTACAGGGGTAGCAGGGAAGCGCTGGCTCCCTGGCTGTAGTTTTGGTTTTAGTTTTTCGAGCCTTTATGAAATTCTGTTGGTTTGTACTATTAGCGTACAATCTAGCTATCTTGGTAGGTAGCTAGCTAGCTAACTTCTGCTGGGTAAGCAGCAGCTATGCTAAGCTCAGAATTGTCTTCTACACAGCCAAGACATTATCATCATTATATAACTAACTTAGGTCCTTAAAAAAATTGAACTTAACTTGCACAAACTGTAGCCACTGTAGTTTCTCCTACACAGTGCACATTTGCAACTTCACCACTGAATGCCACTGAATCCTACACACTGGTTCTTTAATGCAACGACATTAATGATTAGAATTCCTCTGCTGTCCTTATGTGCTTACAGAAAAACTTTTTCTGTGCTCATTATGTCCCACAGCGTGCTCAGGAATGAGGCACAAATGTTACACCAACGTAGGATTATTTCTTTGAATATCTGAGATACATTATGCTAAAATATGTTGTAAATGTGCTCTTTCTACCAGATTCGGCTTCGTACATGACAAGTTTTCTGCTTCTGCTTTTAATTTCCCGTCTGAGAACAAGCCGCAGTACATCCATGTAACAGGTTTGTCTCATCATAACATAAAAACACACAGACTGCCTTTCTGTTTCCTGCAAGCTGACAAGCTTCAGTCTGCTCCTCTCCCATCAGGCACCGTGTTCCTGCAGCTGCCGTACTCCAAGCGGAAGTACTCGAGCGGGCAGCAGCGCCGGCGCCGAAACTCCACCACCTCCAACAGCCAGGGGCCGTTTGGCGGCGAGGAGCGGGTCGGATACTACTGGGCCTACAACACCATGCTGACCAAGGCCTGGAGAACGGGCGTGCTGGGCGACGAGAGGCTCGCCGACCGCCTGCTCAGAGACTTCACCGACTTCTGCACCAACAAGGACAACAGACTGCTCAACTTCTGGGACAGCTGCCAGGACAAAATGAACGCCAGCGCTCCCTGACAGGAGGAGAACTTGAAAACGGAATGTAGGAGAGGAGAAACAAGGAATGTGAAAAGATCATGAAATGTATTTTTAATCTTTATTTATCCAAAAAGTCAGAGTTGCACTCAAAGAATGACGTTTACGACTTTAAACGCTCGATTCTCCGGTTTGGATGATGGAACAAGACATTTTAAATATCAAATGAATGCCTTAAGAGCAGAGGTTCTGCTCCAGTGTTGTGTTCTGTTAATTCTGTTTATTTACACAATATAAATAATACAACACCTATTCATTTGTTACACTGTTGTGTTTACACCGGCAGAGTGTGTCTATACATCTGTGTCATTCTCTGACCCTGAACGCTACAGTCAGTTTAGCCCATGAAAATCTAAGTGAAAACACTAACAGTAGTAAATGTGCTGTAAGATGTCCAAGATTGTATCCAATTAAATGAAAGAATGGCAGCAAGAAAAAGCAACACTTACTTACCTTTCACCCTTCATAGTCAAATGTTTCAGATGCTGATCCGGATCCTGTTTTTGAACCGAACCACCGACCTGACTGTTTGTGTCTCAGTGTGATTTTTGGCTAAATGAATACACCTTAGGTAATCATAAAAGAGCCAGCCAAGAAACAACAGCGTGCGACTTCTGCAATAAATCTTTAAATTCCCCCTCCAGTCAGAAATCAGTGTTTCTTCTTGTTCCTACAGTGTGAAAATCTGATTTTAAATCACAAATAGTTAGGAAGTCAGTCCTGGTCCAGTATGCAACTTGTACAGCGTGATGTAGAAACTTGAAGCCACCAGTGCACTGTCACACAGTAGAGCATTATTCTAGACTCCGGTCAAAGCATGGAGTTCCTTCATAAATGAACAAAGAGACTTTCCAGAAGTTGGAAATCAGAACATTGCATGCTGGTAAATAAAACGTGTTCAGCTCGTCTGGTAGCGTGGCCTCACATGTGATGGGGGCTCTCCTCCTTTTGCAGCCTGTGATGTTCTGGTTGGCCTGCCACATGTCTTTGGTGTTGTTGGTCTCCCTCCAGCCTCTGCTGCTGTCTCCACTGTACCTCCTTGATGCCAGTCTTGCTCTGGTGGTGCTCTATGTTTTTTTGCTGTGGACAAAGCCCTCACCTCTCTGTTCATCTAGGATTTTTAGTTGGGGAATGATTTTATTGTCTTTGGCTATTTCTATATAGTTATTGTTAGTGCCTGCCACCAGGTCAGAGTCAGTCAGAGTCCTCTTGAAATCAATGAAATGGTAGAAACACCACTTTTGTCCACAGGGGTCGCCAGAATCAACTCAAAATGAAAGTTCCTTTTGGGGGCTTTAACATGATTTTAACAACTTCTTCTTAATTTGAGTTTCTTCTCATTATGTGATCATATGATTATGTGCTTCACCTTTCCATAAGGCTGAGTAAAGTCAAACACAGACACGTTTTTAGTTGCACCTCTTGAAACTTGTTTAATGTGTGTCTCTTTATTAAACACCAACACACAGTCATAGAAGTCACTGGAGCAACAAACATAAAAATGAAGTAAAAAGATAAAGTTTGGATGAGGGATTATCAGAGCCCTACTACTGAACTGAACACACAAGATTCCCAGTCAGTACCACTACTTACTCTGATCATTGACCACTATGATTCCCTTATATTAGTATTCACACATCATATGTATACATATATTATAGCATTGATCCCTTTAAAGTCATTTTATATCAAATAAAGTGCTGCTGTTCAAGTTTCAAGGTCAAACTATGTACAATGGAAAATGAGTCAAATAGAAATCTCACAATAATTAGTTATTCCATAAAATAGTGCTTTATATAAATGATCCACAACAATGAGGCACGAACACAAGGTATCCCAGTGCCCTTATACCCACTGGACAACAGCCACTGCAGTGAATGCCTCAATCGGCAGAGGAAGGTTCCAATACCTTCTTGTTGAAGTGCCATCTGTGCGTTGCAGCAAGGCCTTGATTCTCCTTTACTTCCTGTGCGGCCTGGATTTCAGAAACAGTTTACAGCCCGCGTATGTGTAAATGTAGTAGTTTGTCAATGTGTCATTCTGTGGAGGGATATGTATAAGAATGACCCTTTAATGAAGCATTCCACTTTGAAAAAATGAATTTAGTTAGCTAATGTGGTCAAGCACGGACAGGACATCAGCTGTTAGGACACTGGATTTAAAATGGTTCTTTGGCGATTTCTGATCCCTCACACACACCACATACTCTATGTGCTTCCCTTCATCATCCTTTGTCGGCTCTTACGTCCGTTAGTGAAGCAGCAGGACAGCACCTCCCTTCTGAGGTGATCCGCTCCAGGTGAGCCAATGTCTACAGTCATGTGACGTATCTGCCGTGAACTCTACGTGTCAGTCTTTCCTCTGTATTGTTTAGCACAGCAGACATGCAGTCACATAAAGTTTAACTAAAGACTACTGGCACCTGGACCTTGTTTTCTCACCATTTTCCAAAGTTCTGTATAATTGCCATTTAGCTGCTTCACAACACTTTAAAGCTCCTTATTTGTCTTATTTGTTTGCTAGGCTATAGCTAACTAATGCCATAACCACTGAAAACATCAAACATAACAAACTTAAAAGATTCTTCATTGTTCTTCATTTTGACGCTGGTTAATGTTAAATAGTTAAAGGTTAGAGAAGCGTAAAATACTAAAGATATACTGAATGTATGCTAATACGAAGTCATGAGCCGCCCTACTCTGCCCTTGATTGGCTAGTATTCGTTGCCTTCATTGGTTTGGTTGGTGAGGTTTAATCATTAGAAGTGAGAGTTATGGTTAGGGTTAGAATGTCAGAAGCAGAGGACATTAGTTAGCGAACATTTTGCTAAAACCTTTCCATTGACAGGAAAAACAGAAAAATACGACCTCTTTGGCAGAAAATTAGCCCGATGCGGCCCGGATTGACACCAGGATGCATCCACACAACTTGTAAATGTTTCAACTTAAGGAAACATTTGTACATAAAATCCCTGCAGATCAAAGAACCTGCTTCATAAACATACAGAGATGAGGGAGTTGGTACACTGGCCCTTAAACACAAATGATCCAGCAATCAAATGTGTGAAAACCAAGCAAGGCGAAAATCCACTCCGCTTTCTGTCTGAACATTTTCATTTGTTCTCCAGCTGAATTTTTGCTTGGAAAAATGGTTAAATCTAAAATAGTGGT